ACGGGGACCTCACCCCGACTTCCACGATGACTTCGATCGGCCCGACGACTTCCGGGATGATTTCCACCCAGACAAGAGATTTGGCCATCGGTTACGGGAGTTCGAGGGGAGAGGAGGCCCACCATTGCAGGATGAGAAATGGAGACGAGGGGGACCTGGGCCTCCCTTTCCTCCTGATCACAGGGAATTTGAAGGAGGTGGTTCCAACCGGGGGCCTCCCGGTGCTTGGGAAGGACGGAGACCTTCAGATGACAGATATCCACGGGATCCCGAGGATGCGCGCTTCCGAGGAAGGCGAGACGAGAGGTAAGAATAAATCCATTTCTCTTTCTTGGGTTAAAGGGTAAATGGAGGGAACTCTTTTATTCCTGGTTTCCTTTTCATTAAGGAGTCTATCTGTTTCAGATTTATAAACTGGAAACCAATAAGGAAATGAAAACTCTAATATACCTGAGTGTAGAGTCCATAAAAATCATTCAGTAATAGAAGAAAACTTGAAAAATGGTCATTGTACACAGCAGCTTCCGTGTCTTTAAACAGTAAGTAAAGAGAAGGGGGAAGTTTTAGAGAAGATCCAGTGACACAGGATGAAGATCTGAGGCCGTTTTGATGAAAATTGAGAGGAGACTTAAAGGTTAAAGTGACAAACTTTTGAACACTAGAAGTGGATTTTGAGATTCTGTCTCCAGTCACAAACTACAGCATGACTGTAGAGACTGTAGGATGAGATGCAATGCCCTTGTGAGGAGCAGGAACAGTGATGTGACTGCCAGATAGAAGGGACAGACTTACAGCATCTGTTGGACTGTCGAGACTATTTTTTCATACGTTTGCTTGTAGAAATTTTATTTCTCTTTCTGACTTATTTCTTAATGCCAAACAAAGAACTCAAAAATAATCTGATTTACTGCAATGTCCTTGTCATTGCTCACAATCTCCGAATAAATCACCAAGGGATAAATTTGCTTTTAGTTACCAATGTAAATATGGAGGAATTAATGCTGTCTCTGAAATTAATTACCAGCAAAATTGCTCCAGATTTATGTTAGTTTAATTAAACGAAATTTGGCCTCCAAGGTCTAAGCCTCTCACTGACCACCAACTCTCTATGTATAAGAACATGTGCTTGTTACAAATATGCTGTGGTCTCCACATAATGTGAATTTTGTGTGTTTTAGTTGCCTTTTTAATCATTTTCTTACATTCCTTTTACTTTGCATCTATACAGCTCTTCTTTTAGCTATTTTCTACCTAGCTCTGTAAGATGTAACTTCCTTTTGTGTGAAGAGTATGAAAAGAAATGAACAGTAACTTAAAGAAGGTAACAATTAAAGCCATTTCTAAAAAGTAAAGCCAGAGAAAATCCAGTTGGATGGTCCAGTGGTCCAATGGTCTGCATCACAGAACTCTAAAAGACACAGCAGACAAGAATTTTAGAAGCTCAGTAGAGATTTTTCAGATCTTATATTGAAAATGTTTAGGAACTGGCAAATATTTTATTATGGTCCTGATTTTTAAAACGTTTCAGGAAGGGAAACAAGAACCTTGTAACCTGCAAACCTGACTTTTGAACTCAGAGTATTCTGTTCATCAGAGTACAAGTGTTTGCCCAGAGAGTTTGAAGTGAAATGGCACAAGGCTCTAAAAGGCTCACTGTGCTTGTAAATTTGATGATTTTCTTGGAATGAAGGTGAACTAGGTGCCATTTACTGCAGATGCTGTGGTGGACTTAATCCCAACCACTCCTTTAGCTGACTTGGTTTGAAATTGAGATTGTAACTGGTTTGATCAAGCATGAGAGGCAAATGTGTGTATGTGTGTTTCTCTCTAATTTCCCATCCTTTTCATCCCTGTCCTGTTCTTACTCTATATCAACATGATGCTTCTACTGCAGAGACCTGCCTCTTCCTGCCTGCTAATCTGCACAGTGTGTAGTTGTGTACAGTAAGGTCCTAGGCCTCGGGGAAGAAGATGTGAGAGCAGTCAAACAGGAACTGAACCCGAAGCAAGGCAGGGCTTTGTGTGTGACTGATATGAAAAGGCAAATAAGGATATCCATAACACAATATTAGGAGCTGTGGCTGTGTCAGGCGTAGGTATCGTAGATTTCAAAACTCAACTGTGTCCATAAGTTGCCTGAAATAGGAAGGGCCCTGTTCCTGCAGCCCTGGGGCCTCGTGTTGAAAATCTTGGTAATTTCCTAGCTAAGGTGAATCACACCGTATCAGTATTATAGCAGGAGGCCCTCTAAGAAACCTCTAGAGGACTGTGCTCTTTCAAGGCTAAACAATATTGCTCTGTGATTATTTGAACCATTTGTACCTGAAACTGTTGAGGTTGTTTTCCCAAACCATCCAGGTTAATGTAAATGGTTCATGGTCCATACAAAGCACTCCTCCATCCACTGTTGTACCTGTACAGGCACAGCAGCCTCCTCTCTGTATTGTGTTTGTTTTCTGGGAGGTGGAGACAGACCTATTGTTTTTTATTAAAAACAATGTAAAAGTTTAAAAATATTGTATTGTGTTATGACTACTGTTAAAATATTTAAATTTGTAATTAAAAGGTTAATGTTGTTAAAATTCTAAATAAAAGTATCTAAAGTTTTGCTTGTAATAGGATGCACTGTGTCGTTAATGAGCTGGGGAAGGGGATGCTGCACACAGCCAACGCCACGGGAATACTGCGGTGCTTCCAGTGCAGCCAGCGTGCAGCTGGGAACACTGGGGAGGTGGGAGGCATCTGTGACTGGGCAAGGAGAGCTCCACACCGTGTGCTGTCACTGAGGGTGGGCAGAGTAGCGTGGGGTGGCACGGTGGGGACACCAGTGTGCCTGCACCACCCGAACACCTCAGCCGGGCTGTGACAGACAGGCGTCCTCACAGGGCAGGGCTGAGCTTTGCAAACCCTCCAGGTGTTTGATGCTTGTGTCAGGACCAGAACTGCTAGTTATTCACACAGCCAGATGCAGGCTTCCCTGGCATGGCACTGACAGCTCAGGAAGAGCCATTCTCCTCTCTGAAGAGCTGTCCACGGCCCCAGCGTGGTGCTGGAGGAGCTGTACTCAGCTAAGGTGCTGTGCAGAACCCAATCGTAGCATATTCCTGCAGATGCCCTTGGTACTTACTAGACAGCAGTTACCAACTTCAGGCTCATAATTACATTTTGCAACACAAAATTCATTACTGCAGTTGGATGAACTGCTCTTCAGGTTGCAGAATGCCACTGTGCACTGTTCAGCCATCACTGTGCCTACAGATCCAAGGGCAGTCTAGATGCATTTGCTAAAACTGTAAACTTTGAAGAATGGAATGAAAAGTAGCATTATCTGGTGAAAGAATCATAGAACTAATAGGAATGAGATCCTGTAATGTTTTGTTACAGCCACGTCTCTCATTGCTTCTATGTTTTCAGTTTGTTTTATGATGGAAATGGAAAGGAAAAAAGGGAAGGGGAATGTAAGAGCATCAGAGTTAAGGGGAACTCACACTTTGCCTTGCCTTACCTCACCTTGTATCTATTGTCACTCATTGACTGTTTTTCCCACCTTTTCATTAAATGAATGCAATGTGTTTAATAATATTTTTCTTGTATGAAAAGCCAACGTAATCAGTGGAAGGAAATATGAGAGGAAGATTACAAAGCTTACTATCAAAGTGCTCAAAGGCAGAAACGGGCACTTTCCCACCTACAAATCCTGTTCTAGTAACTGTATGTGCTGTAGCATTAAGTGAAACAGTTTAGAAATGAGTTGATAATTAAACTGAAGCTGCCTCAGTTATGCCTAAAAACCACCTTTGTATCGTGTTCTTTGTTGTAGCTTCCGAAGAGGAGGACCCTCGAGACACGAGGGCCGGGGGCCCAGGGGCAGAGATGGTTTTCCTGGCCCTGAAGATTTTGGGCCAGATGATGCTTTTGACTCTCCAGATGAAAACTCCAGAGGAAGGGACCATGGTGCTCGGGGGCGAGGTCGAGGTGCTCTGAGAGGTGAGGGGAATGTTCTTCCACACAGAAATGCAAGGATGAGGAGGGAAAGGCACTTCTTGGGCAGGTGACATTATTTCCATGAATACAATGTCTCTTCTCACTCCTGTCCCCTGCTTCTCTTACTGCTCAGGAGCTCGGAAGGGTTTGCTTCCTACTCCAGATGAGTTCCCACGCTTTGAAGGAGGGAGGAAACCAGAATCCTGGGATGGAAACAGAGAACCAGGTAAAAAATTGGGTGAGGTTTGTAGACTTCTACAATATAATAACTTTAAAAAAATATTTTTAAAATCCTGCCTTTTTCCTGCACCTCACATGTTTGTTACCAGTAGTTTACCATGAGAAAAGCCAAATGCAGTTCTTTGGTCTTTTAAATTTAGGAAGAAAGAACTATACAGAATTTAACTGTCTCTACATACAGCTGTCTTATTGAATGAAAGTGATTGTGGCCTCAAAGCCTTGATTTTCAGTTGTGCTCCTGTATAGTCCAGAACTGCCTGGGCACTTGTCACCTCTGGATGACTGAATCACATCATGGGTTTTTTTAATATCTTTATTAATACCAACAGTAATCTTTCTCTGTGTTGGTGTCTTTTCAGCTGCAATGTCTGACAGCTTATATTTGCAGTTGTGTTACTAAAGGCAACCCTATATGGGGCAAGACAGAGCTGTAGAATGTCATGGAAAACAAAGCATAAATGGCACATGAATAAATGAAGGTGTGATTGTCTCTAAAATATATTGAAGTATTTTATACTGGAAAGAACACTTTACATCTGCCACACTTTTCTTTCCTATCATCTTTAGAATCTGTTTTACCTTTAGCTTTTTTTACTAAAAAATGGGACAGAGGAGAAACTTTACATAATTTTGACTTCAAACTGTGTGCCAAACAGTGTGGGCAGTTTGTAAATTTATGTGGCTGCCTTCAAAAATGAAGAATAATGACCCAATGAACATTACTTATCCTGTGTTTTCGTGCACAGGTCCTCGTCCAGATCACCCTCCTCATGATGGGCACTCTCCAGCCAACAGAGAACGTTCCTCTTCACTCCAGGGCATGGACATGGCCTCACTGCCACCACGGAAACGTCCCTGGCACGATGGACCAGGAACCTCTGACCACAGGGACATGGATGCTCCAGGTGGACCTCCAGAGGAGAGGGGCAAAGGTAAAAAGCCCCTTTGATTAGAACCCTTAAGTAACACTGGCATGTATTTTCAGTACTGAGTGTATCCAGAAGTTCTCTGTTCAGAGGGGATAAAGCTGAGCTGGTAAATACCTGATTTTACTAGCTGGGAAGTTAGAGACCAGTCTTGCAGGAACATAAGAACAGAGGGATTTTCAAACATCAAATCCACATCTTGTCTCCAGCATCACAGAACCCCCTTCTTTATTGCCCTCTTCAAAAGTAATTGTTTTTTTGTTCCCTGTTACTCAGCTGGAGAACTCATTAAGAGCATTTTCCCCTCATTTTCAGAATAGTTGTTTATTAATATTAATGCTTGTGATGTTATTCTTTAACTCAAATATAAGAACACTGAGCCTGGAGTGGTATGTCCCTGAAGTGCTCTCTAGACCTCTGAAGATCTGACTTACTAAAACATTGTTTTTACATTTAATGGCTTTCTAGTTACCTTTTGTGTACTTCTCTAACTGCTTTAAGAATCATATAAACTTTTGATCTGACAACATCCATGGACAGACCTCTAAAACTTAACTGAAGTAGACTATGCTTTAAAAAAAAAAGAGGGAAAATATTTTTCCCTTGATCTATGCTTATCATTCACTAATTTAATTTGATGTCTTGTGTTGTAATTAAGTTGAATGTTGGTTCCTGTTATTACTGAATGCCACCTCTGATTGCACTGAACTGCACCACTTCCAGCCTGAACCAGCTCTTCTCCAAGTCAGAGCTCTGATTTCTTTATTCTTTCTAGAAATTGTTGTCTCTTTCACTATCCTTGTTACTCTGTATGTGGTATTTTGAGTTTTAAATTATCATTTTCTAAATTAAATGAGGTAACTAGGAATTGCACACACTATTTAAGATGTGGTGTAACCATGGATTTCTACAGTTCCCTTGTATTTATTCCACTTTCTCCATTCCTTCCTAACAGTTCCTGGTGTTGTAGTTCCCTCTAAGTGGTCCCATGCTGCTGTAACCCACAGAACATATTCTTTTGGAGTCAGTGCTATTAGCATCACAGCAGTTCTTGTTCCTATTTCTTACACATCTCAGGACTTCTGTTCTCTTGTGTAAATACTGTCTTTCTTTAGTGTCCTCATATTGACTGTCAGGTAGTGATCAGTGACAAACATCCTTCTCATGTGCTTCCAGATGCTGAGCTGGCAGCCTGCAGCTCAATTTGGTGCTGTTAGACTGCACAGCTTTGTCTCTGATGCCACTGAACACTGAATCCCAGCCCACTTCTCTCACCACTGTCCCCAAGCTCATTCAGTTTTAACTGCTTATCACTCCTCCTCTGCATGGACTTTGTTCCCAGGTTTTATCATTCCTTCACAGATGTTTTGAATGAAACTCTGCTGATAAACTTCTCTACCAGTATTTTTCCTTCCATATCTACATGCTGTAGTTCTCAGTTTAGCCAGCATCTATCAAATCTCTAAGGATTCCTTTTCCAGCTTCAGTAATGATTGTGATAACTCTATCAGATTCTTTGTTAAACTCAAAACAATTGTTGTCCAGGCACAAGTGTGGTAATTCACTCATAATTTAGAATGATGGCAGAAAGCCTGATAAACCATGAACAATACTTCTTCATATGTGGGCTATATCACTTTCAGTTGTATTTGTAAAGTTCTTTGAAGATTAAAACTTCATTGATGTTTCTGTGAAACAGTTTGGTGACTGTTTTACATGGAATCATCCACACTCAACAAAAATCACTCTTGCTGAAGTGCAGCAAAAATACCTGAATTTAGCTGTAGTAGGTGTCCTTAAAACAAGTTTATCACTGATTTTGTTTTCTCAAAATACTACTACTTATTTTAGGCTAATTAATTGGGTTGGGGGTTTTTGTTGTTCATATCAAACATATCAAAACCAAAAAGGTATGTGAGAATTAGAAAATTCTATTCTGTGAGAATTAGAAAATTCTGTTCCTGGCAGTAAGAGCTTGAGTACTTTTTGTTCCAGGTTAGTAGTAAAATAAAGCATTTTTCCATTCTTTTTAGCAAAAAATTGGAACAAAACAGTAATGTTACTCATGATCTTCACCATCAGCCTCAACTGTCTCAATTATCAACACTGCTATGTCTCTGTTTAGGATTTATAAAAAGTGTTTTGCAATAAAAACAGAGAGAACCCCAGTGCTGAAGCACAGGAACTGGCAGTTTGAAGGAAAAGCTATCACTATTCTGACTTCATTTCAGTGCCTGTTGACAGTATCAAATGTAAGCTTTAATTCCCAATGAATTGCTTGATTGTTGTCTGTTTTCTTAGCTGTAATGGAGACACTTACTCTGTATAACAAAATTGTACTGAGGGAGGAGGCATAAAATTGCAGGTTTCAGCTACAGCTGGTTTGTGAATGATGACACCACAGTAGAAGCAGCTCAGTATCTGGCATGTCTGAGAAGAGACTCAGCTCAAACTTACACCAGTAACTGGTTGTGCTTCCTTTGCAGGACGAGGAAATTCAGGACCTTCGCAGAGAGCGCCAAAATCTGGGAGGTCCAGTTCTCTAGATGGAGACCACCACGATGGATTCCACAGGGAGGAAGCTTTTGGTGGAGGCCCTGGGGCAGGCAATAACCCTTCTCGAGGAGGAAGGAGCAGCAGCAATTGGGGAAGAGGAAATAACATGAACTCTGGCCAGTCCCGGAGAGGAGGATCTCGGGGTGGACGAGGCCGATAGAAGAGGCTTTGACTGGGTCATGCCCAGTCCTTTTGGGACAATATTTAAATAGACTGCTACTCTGGACTCACCTGCAATGCCACGAACCTGGATTCTTAACTGGGATACTGAATGTGCATTAGTTCCTAACAAGGGTCTTTCTTTTCCTGAATCAGTCCTTTGCCTCTGGCTGCAATATTGTAGCTACCTTTGTTTTGTTCTTTCCACTCCCGTTCCCCTCACTTTCTTGTTTTGTCAAGAGCTGGAATTTCTTTTAAGTGTTGTGGAACATGGGGCATCTCCACAGATTTCAGTTCACCTCCAGACAGAAACTTGTTTCTATATGTACAGTTTGTCAAAGAGTTACATTGGTTTTGTATGAATACAGAATGTAATTTGCGCAAAAATTAACAAAAAAATCAACAGCGTGTGATTCTTTACTCACCTATTCCTACAGAGGGCTGTATTTAGGCAAACTTGTGTTTCAGATGGAGCAACAGTACTACCTCCAGAAATCTCAGCCATTTAAAATACTGAGAGCTGATTCCTAGGGTTTTGGTTTATCATGTACACAGAAGTTTCATTTTCACCTTTAGCCACAGCTGTCTACAGATTACAGTGGTGCTGAGGTCAAAATTCCAAAATGCAGGCAATCACCACTGCTTGCTAGTCTGCCATCCTGAAACAGAAAAGAGTGGAATAGTGTTTAGAACAAGTTGTCAAAGACATAGTGTGAGTTACATAACGTGGATCCTAACACAGACATCACAGCAAAGACTGGCATTCTACCCTTCACCTAGGCAAGCCACGGATTTTTGTTCAGAACAGGACCTGTTTGTAGAAATTGAGAAAGTTTAGCAGCTTGATTGGTATGTTTTACAGCAGCTGTGTGACACATTGTTCAAAGCTATGGGTGTAGCAGAGTCTGGTGCATTAATTGCTGAGGTGCAATTCATCACTTGCAGAATAAGTTTTTTTTAAGTGTCTTTTTCTTTAGGATATTGTTACCTGGTTTTACTAAAGGAGGGAAATGAGGAGGAGGGGTTATTCCCATTTCCCACATTTCATAATAAAGCTGCTTACCAACCATGAGCTTGTTTTCCCCATAAATCATTCCTATTAATTATCTCCAGTCACCATGTTATCAGAAGGCTCCTTTAACACCTAAAGCCTCAGTGAAAATGTTATCACGTAAGTACTTATTCTACAGGTACCCGTCAGGAAGGTCCTGTATTGAAAGTAGAGCATAATAAGAAACCACTACCAGGCTTCCCTCTCTCCTGCCTTGAATTTCAGGCTATAATCAGGATGAGACTCAGTTCTAGAGGCTTCTGCATCCCAGTAACACACAGAGCTGTTGCATCTTCTCACAGGCAGGTTTACCAAAGACTGGCTCAAGTCCTGATGTCCCATCTTCCTTAAAGACATCAAAGCACAGACGCTCAGCTGCTGTTCTCTTGGTTCAGTCAGTCACTTTTTACTTGGTTTTTAATTTGTGGTGTATCAAATCATATTTGAAAATTGTAACTGACCATTAGCCTATAAAATCCTTGTCATGGGGGTCAGGAGAGACAGAACGGTCTAAAAGGAATTAACTAGAAACAGCTGAGATGCATCTGATATGACACAGTTTGCCCATTGAGAAAAAATGCTTTTTAGCTCTATCGGAAGGACTTTGGGCACTTTGGGTGTATGTCTGGGAGCTGGGATTTGTCCTGAAGTTTTCATGAGAAATACTAACGAGTTCATCATTGGCAAAGAGGAAAGCTTGCCCTCTTTTTTTTTATTTTTTATTTAGCAAGCCTAATATATGTTTAAGGGGCTAAAAGAGGTCTAAGACTATTTAGAGGATGAGCTGTAAGCTTTAATTAAACCACAGTCCTCTACCAAAACAAGTGTACCTAACAAGAGAAAACCCAGTTTTATCTAGACAACTTATATTTCCTCTGATGATTGGTTAATTCCTTAAACAATTATGGTATTTAATGTTAAATAATACTCTTCAAGGGCCAGCTTTTTAAATGGAGTTTTGAAGTATTTCACAATCATATGCTCAAAAAGTCCTAAGAAAATTTGATAATTAGATACAGTTTCTACAAAATCTTGGAAGGTAACAGCATAGGAGGAGACGCAAGTAGCTTCCCAGTCTGTGATACCAAGACCCACTGTTACTGGGAAATTGGAACAGTTATTTAATGGGAATACTTGTGTATTCCTCAGGTCATGTTATTTTACCAGTGCTGCACACAGACTCCTACGCTCTACCTGTTCGTTCAGTAGTTAATTTTACACTGCTGTTAGGAATAAAATTAATTTTATATACTGTAACTTAGAAATTGTAAAAACAAGAGAGCTAATTTAATGCTATTCTCATAGTTCTGATCTACATTCTTAATGGAAAGAAGTGACCATTAGTGAAATGTCTATACTGACAACTGGACACAAATAGTTTTATTAAAGCAATCTATGTACACTTAAGCACGCCCTTTAACAATTTCAGTTTAATTCAGAAAAGGATTTGGTAAATCTGTTAAAACTAAATAGTGATAGCAGATAAGTATTGCAGTGGCTTCATTCTGTCCACGAGGCACAAATGCTCAGTGAGAACTCACTGGGGGCTCTGTGCAGGTGAGGCCCCATTGTCCCATTTCCTTGCACGGTCCAGTACCCAGCCCAAACTGGAGCACCCAGCTCTGTCAGCCTGAATTCAGCACCCTCCTGAGGCAGCTCAGTTTCTGCACTGAAGCAGAGCTCCAGTTACTGGCAAATTATTTTTGAAGGTCAGGCTGGGACAAGTAAGCAAATCCTGCCCAAGTTCAGAGAGCAGTACCTATACACAAAAGTAAAGTTGTAAGGGTTGAAGCTCCCGTTTTAAAGCCCAGTTTGGTCCCTTACAGCAGCACCTGCAAACGCCAGTGCTCTTAACCAACATCAGCACTTCGCATCCTCTCATCATCATGCAGGAACACCCCCTCCCCTTACGATTATGGGCAGTGCTTGTGACCCACAGCCCCAGGAAAGTTTGTTTCACTTACTGGATGGTTATTTTAAAGCTGCTTTATAGAGAGAAATGCAGTTCATTGGCCAGAGTCTTCGTATTCACCACTGGTCTGAGGTGACAGCAAAAACAGTATGTGTTCATAGTGTAGGGGTCAGCACAAAATGAGGTAACACCAGTTAATTTTTCAATGTTCTCCCCTAGCCTCGATCGCATTTTGCTAAATCATCTTCGTGGTTCGGCATCCGTCAGCCTTGCGCACCTCAGCCGCTCCTCAGTACCGGGCAAGTCCACAATGTCGCCGCAGGGATCCGCGGTCCGCAGCAGCCGCTGCACAGCCACATGGTCCCGGCTGGAGGCACGAGCGGGACGCTGCCAGCTCCCCACCCAGAGGTGGAGCGATGCCAAGCCGTGCCTAGGGAGCTGACAGCGCGGTAAGGCAAATAACGAGCTCGGGGGCGGCTCGGCAGGCTGGCACCGCACACGGCACCCGCAGCTCCGAGTCACCGGGGCCGCTCCGGGCTGCCAGCCCCGCCGCTGCTGCTCGAGCGCTGGCGAGGAAAACGTGCCGGGACGCGGAGGAGGCGAAGAGAAGCGGCGTCCCCGGTCTGGGAGTCGGCTGGCGACAGCGCGAGGCTCTCGGTCGGTGCGCGAGGGACTCCCGCGGGGACGCGGCCGCTGCTCCCCGGCGCGCCGGGCTCACAGAGGCAGTGCCTTGCCTCGGCCGCACACCGCGGCGCGGAGCAGCCCGGCGAGGCGGCGCAGGCCGGCGGCACCGCCGGGCAGCGCGGCCAGGAGCGCGGCGGCGGCGATGCCGAGCTGCGCGGCGGCGCCCAGCGCCGTCAGCGCGGTGCTGCGCAGCGCCAGCGCGGCGTACAGCGTCCCGAAGAGCGCCCCGAGGTACAGCAGCGCCCCGCGGCCGGGCTCCCGCAGCAGCCGGGCGGGCCCGCGCAGCAGCGCGGCGGCGCCCAGCGCGCACAGCGAGCCGAGCGACCAGAGCAGCGCGAACTTGCGGGCGCGCAGCAGCAGCAGCGGCACGCACAGCCCCGCCAGCCCGAAGCACAGCGCGGCCAGAAGCACGCACAGCCCGCTGCCCGCCAGCCGCTGCCAGCGCGACAGCCCCGCCAGCCACGGGTCCTCCTCTCCCGTCCAAGGCCACACCGTGGCGCCCGGGGGACTGCCCGGCGGGAACGGGTTCAGCGCCCCCAGCCAGGCCCGCAGCCCGCCGCCGTCCCCCGCCTCCTCCTGCGAGCCGCCGGCCGCCGGCGGTGCGGGGACCGCGCTGGGACCGGTGGCGGCAGCAGCCTTGGACTGCGCGAGGTACTCGTGCAGCTGCCGGCCCAGGTCCGCCATGGCGGGGATGGCACCGGGCGCTACAACGCTCCCACCGCCCACCCCGGCGCCGCCATTTTCCCAGGCAGGGGCCACATCCGGGGCACGGCAGAACACGCGGCCGCAGGCCGGGGAGAGCGGTGCGCATGCGCTGGGGACCGTGAGGCGTAGGGCGCGTGCGCGGGGGTCGTGAGGGCTATGGGGGCTGTGAGAGCTGAGAGGGCGATGGGGGCAAGGGGATCTTTGAGGGCTGTGAGGGCTGGGAAGGCTCTGGAGACTGCGAGGGCTCTGCGCTGTAAGGGCTAAGTGAGCTGTCTAGGGCTGCGGGGTCCCTGAGGGCTGTGTGGGCTGTGAAGGGCTATAAGCCTGTCGGTGATTGACAGGCGGGATCAGCCCAGGAGATTGATTGACAGGCGGTACTAAGAATAGTAGAGATGGGGAGCCGTCCATGCAGAGTGATTGATGGGCAGGGCCAAGGGTGAAGAGGGGCAGGCTCAGCCTCCCGGGGTGGTCACAGGCCGGGCCATGGGAATGCCCCTCAGACACCGGGGCACCGGAGCAGTCCTCTGCAGCCAGGCCTGCGGGCCTGAAATTGGGATTCCGCCTCCCAAAACTGAACATCCGAGGATTACTCCCAGACAAAAGCTGCCACACTGACAGGACTCTCTGGCCTTTGCTTCCTGGGGATGGCCTCTCAGCTGCCCCACAGACACTGGGGTGCCAGGCTTTCCTTCCTTCACAGCCAGGCACCAGATGGGTCTGCCTGGACCTTTCCTCCCCTGGGCCACCTCTGACCTGCACCTAAAGTACTGGGCCTGTGTGCTTTCCTTCCTGTGGAAATCAATTCCCATCCAGGAGCCCGTTTTGCACCTCCACAAGTGCAATGAGCTGGAGTGCTTCTGTGCAGATACACTGTTGTGCACCACAGTAAACTGACATTTCAGACTGCAGGCGTGTGATGCTACATAAGGCTGAGAATTAACCTGCAGAGCACCGTGGTTTAAAGGCTGCAAGAGGAGAGTGACTGCCACAATTGCCTTCCAAATTGTGGTTATCACCAGTAAAGGAGAAGGTCAGTGAACACTGTGCTGGCACGGGTCCCATTCGAGACCTGTGTTGAAACAATTCCGTTTAGCTTTAGACTCGGAGATTGCAGTAAGGGAGAAGGTCAGTGAACACTGTCTGTGCTGGCACGGGTCCCATTCGAGACCTGTGTTGAAACAATTCCGTTTAGCTTTAGACTCGGAGATTCAGCAAATATTGTGGTAGAAAGCTGAGAAGAAAAGTACAATACTGCACCACTGTGTTTGGCATGGCTTACAAGAGGCAAGGGGCAGCTGCAGACCAGCATTGGTTCAGCAAGCTGTTGCTGTCTCAACATTTAACTTACATCCTGTGAAAAGCGACTCTGGAGTCATGAATTTTCCTGCTCAGCCTCATGTACCATCACATTCTTTCACTCTCCAAAACCCAGCTTCAAAACTGTGGGTCCTAAACCAAAAAGTAAGCACTGGCCTTCCCTTTCCCCTTGCAATCTCACAGAGTCCAGTTACAAAACTAAGAATGTTCAGCAGTTCATACCCTGGAAAAGGTTCTAGAGGAGAAAGGCCATGCTGGAATTTGCTTTTCTTTTGCAGCCTATAAACTGCCCAGCCAGCAGTGAGACGATTCCTTCCCAGCGATATGCAGGATGACATTCCTTCAGCCTCGAAGATTCAGGATCCCCAACGGAACCCCTACACCAGCTGCTCCCACACGAGCAGTGCCGGGACAGAAAGGGCGTGAGTTACCTGGCCGCTGTCAGCGCTCACAGAGCACGCCACACGATGGCGGTGTGTACTTGCAAAAGAAGGAAATTCGCCTTTTCTAGCTCTAAACCGCCCAAAATGCAGATCCAAATTCAAAATGTCACTGCTCTCAAACTGAGTCAGGACAGAAAGATTTCACTGACTTTTCCCTTCCAAGAACAAACCCCTATTTGCACCATACTCAAAACTAACTCCTCTGTGCTAATAATTTTTTTCTCTCATGGAGTCTGGCTACAAACTTGAAAACCATGGGCAAAAGTGTAGCTGACAAAAGTGCCAGTTGAGAAAGCTGTCGCTGGCCATGGAGCTGCACCCACACACCCTGCTGTCAGCACTTTCCTCCTCAGCTCTGTGCACCATCGGCATCCTTCAGGCTCTCAGAGTCACGAGCCAAACAGAAGGCACAAGCACTTGGCTGAGAAAACAAAATGGATTTGGATCTGATAAAACACCTGGGTATGAATATTAAATATATACATGCATGAAATCGTGGTACATGTGTGTGAAGAGGCAAAGGAGCAGCTTGGTCACTTGCTGCAGTGATTGATAACCCTAAATTTTATGGTTTCTCTGAGTTTTCACCTTGAGGGCTGTGAACTGCTGCTCCTCTCAGGATGCTATGAGCAGGTTCGTGTCCTGGCTTTGCTGAAGGTTTAGCTGTCTCTGTTGGACATTTATTATGTATTTTTAAAAACATTTGGGCTTTGATGTAATGATGTGTATATGGACACTGAGAAGGTGGGGCTGGGGGAAGAAACGCTCAAGGCAGCAAAAGATGAAATGAACTGAGTAGAAACCCCTTGAATTTGGAAATCAGAAATAAAGGTCAGGAATGGCCCTCCAAAGAGCTTCAAGCAGGTCTGTGGGGAGGGTGAGCAGAACCAGAACTGCTGATTAAAGACCTTTCAGTTGTTTATTCCCCTAATTTGCCCATAGTAATCCAATATTTACAGTTCCCCTCCTGCTTCCAAACCTAAACCACTCCACTTTGCACCATATCAATTTGTAATTGCTGTTCCCTGTTTAGCAGTTAGTTAATGGAAAACTGAATGACTGTGGAGATATTAAATTCTGTTGTGCCACCAGGATTGCAAAGATCCTGCTGCAAAGATCAGAACACTGAGGTTCTTGCTGCCTCTCACTGCTCCTTGACTGACTGATGGATTTTTACTGGTTTTGATTTAACCTTTTCCTGTTGTGCTGTCCCTCCCCATCCCAGAGAGTGCTGGAACAGGGAATGCTGGAGGTTTTAATAAGACTGATTCCACCAGTGTTAATCTCCTTGTCTGGGATAAACACAGAGTGGTAGTTACTAAGTCAGCAGCCTTGGGATGCTTTCCAAAGAAGAGCTGGAACACTTTCCCTTTGGATATTTGCCCTGAAGCTACCCCAAGACTGGGTTTAGGAACAAAAATGAGGCAAGGGCACAAAGGCCATGTGACAGCAATGAGGATTTCAATACATGGAGGGTCACTGCCATCCAGGGCCATCTGAAACCCAAAGGTTTATTGCATGTGCTGTAGCTGAATGGAGGGCAGAGGGTGTTTGGGATGAAAACTGAAAAGGCTCAACTGAGGCATTATTTGTCCTGCTCTGTTTCCTGTGGGACACTCGTGTCACAAGGAAGGCTGTCCTAAGGGGCAGGAGAGATGCTGAAGCAGGTTAAAAAAAACAAGTCCTAAAAACAAGGATTCAAATGAAAGTTAAAAGCTTGCAAGTTTTTTTTTTTTTTTTAAGCTTTTAAAAAATTTGCTTTCAAATATTGAATAAAAATTAAGAATAACAACATAACATTAAGGTGGTTATCTGGTGCTAGGATATTGGGGGATGGGGGAGGAAGAGGATGTGAACACAGACAATAAAAGGTGATGAGAAGATGTGGATGTTACCAGCAAAACCCAGAGGGAACAGCAGCCCCAGCAATGCCTGGGGGCAAATGGGATGTCTGGCTTTTGGGACCAAGTGTTCAGGAATCCTCATGACCAGTCTGACAGGTGACTTGAAGATCTGAATTTGAAGGAAAGGAGAAGGAATTGGTAATTGTGAGGTTTTGGCTGCCAGGTCTGTTTTTTCCATGGCAGAAGGGTGCTTCACTTCACTCCTTGAATTCTCCTCTCATTAAGCTGCTGTCTAATCCTCAGCAGTGGAGAAAGAGGAGAAGACAGAGCTTAAACTTATCATCACCCCAGCCAGTTTTTGGTCAGTGGGGTTCCCAAAGGCTGGGTGTGCTTCTCAGCTTTCCTATCAAAAGCTTGTTTAAAAACTTATTTACCTGACAAGCTCTTTAACATATTTATGTGAAAAAAACATAATATTTTAAGGCCAGTGGGAATTCCGTCCCAAAGCTACAGGAAAACAGGCTTTTCAAAAAAAAAAAAAAAAAAGCTTTTAAAAAAAAAAAAAAAAAAAAAAAAAAAAGCAGCACTTCAGGTGTACTAAGGAAGGATAGAACTTCAGGCTGTCACAGATTGTGAGATATGGTGCAATGTGGGAAATTCTCCTGAATTTTACCAAGGAGTTCATCTTCAAAGCAAGTGCCACCTAATTTGAGACGGTTCAGGCGAGGCAGCACTTGCAACAAAGCGATAACAGTACCAAGGGAGACCAAATCATAGAGGTCGAGGCACAGGGTCTCCAGGTGCTCCAGTGTCACAATCGCAACCAGCCCCCTGTTTGTCAGGAAGTAGGCATTGCTGATTTCCAGGTAGCGGAGCCGCTTCATGTGGCGCCCGATGAATACCATGGCGGCATCGCCGATGATGCAGTGCCGTAGAATCAGGCGTTCAAGCGCTTCCAGGTGTGGAGCTGCTGCTTGGATCCCCATATCAGTGACGCGGTAAGTGCCGCAAAGGCTCAGCGTCTTCAAGTGGTTCTGTGAGGAGATGTCAAGAAGATGATGGTCAGAAAAGGTGGGAATGCTGTGGATAGCGAGGTGTTGTACCTGTGGTGGCGGCACCGAAGGGGAGACGCAGAACCAGGCATCGGGGATGTCGCAGAGGCTCAGCTCCAGCGTGGTGACAGAGGCGGGCATGCTCTCGTACGGGACATGGCGGAGGTCAGTCTCGGTCAGGCACAGCCGATGGAGCTGGGGGCAGCGCTTCCGAAGGCCAGCCAGCAGTGCCGGCGAGAGGAGCCGCTGCTTGCCGCCGGAGCGGGGCACGCCGCGCATCCGCAGGGTGCACAGGCTGTCGGGGAGGCGGTGGCGCACCAGGTGCCACAGCGTGCGGCGGGTGATCTGCGGGTGAAAGGGCCGGCTTCCAGGGACGCCGTGGGGCAGGGCAGCCCTGGCGCCGTGGGCCGGTTCCCCCCCGTTCCCTCAGCGT